CTGAAACTGTAGGCAATAAGACCAGGCCCTCTTTTGAGGTCCCAATCAGGGAGGAGGAATGACAAACTACAGGTTGGCCTACCCCAGCTAGGAAAAGCCCAGGCTCAGATGGATTCACACCCAAAGTTTACAAAACTTACGAAGACCTTTTAACACCTTTCCTTATCAGAGTGTTTAATTCCATATCCCAGGACTCCAAATTTCCCACCCAGGCACTGGATGCCCTTAAATTCCTTATCTCTTAACCAGATAAGACCTATTTTATTAATAAGAGTAGATTTGTTGTAAAATTGTATTTGAAGGTGATAGTGAATAGATTATCCTTCCCAGAGTTACTCACCACGCTCAAGCTTCATTCAAAGTCGCAAAGCTCAAGACAACACTATCAAGACCTTACTATTTATGCAAGATCCCCAAAATTCCTATGGTCCTCCTGTCTGTAGATGCAGAGAAGGCCTTTGATAGAGTAAGTTGGCTATTCCTTAAACTTTCCCTCCTTTTAATAAGGATTTGGATCCAACACTTTGGCCCTCCGTTTTTCCCCCTCTGCCAGAGCTTGTTTCAGTGTTTCCCTATCTACCAAATTCAACATTTAGAACGGTACACCCCAGAGCTGTCTCCTCTCCTCTACGTTTTACCCATTGAGCACCTGCCAACGTTCCTAAGACAAAACCCTGCCATATCTGGAATACAAGTAGGCCTTATTCATACAAAATTATCCCCATCCACTGTATGTGACCCAGCCGCACACTTTTATGCCATCCATAGTCCATAGTGAAATACAACGTTTAGTTTGTTAAACAACTTCAAGATCAGTTTTTCTAAATCTGAATGAGTGTTTCCCTTACTCCATAGCAAAAACAACATATTCCATCTAACATTTCTTTTACATTTTGCACCCATTCACTAAAATTCCTTGGGATCCATATTCCTCTCACCTGACACAAATATTTTTCGTCAACTTCCATCCTCTGCCTCAGGCATCTATTAATGACCTCAAAACTCATGACTGAAGAACATTTTCCTGGGTAGGTATAATTAATATACTCAAGATGAGCATCACCCCTATATTCCTATATATTTTTCCAGCTGTTCCTACAGCCTTTCCTCATTTGTTTCTTTGGAAGCTACAGTACACTTTTACAAAAATGCATCTGGGGATCAGGCTATCCTTGACTAAACCACAATGTACTCTCCTCACCTAAATATAGAGGGGTGCAAATGCCCCAGACTTTTTGTTATACTACCAGGCCTCTATACTTATTAGAATAGTTAACTAAATGCACCACCAATCCTTCAAGCTCTGGGTTGATATTAAACAGTCTTTAGCTCCCATTGAACTCAAAGCCCTACCCTGGGTGGAACATCAGAGATATGACCTGTCTTCCCTTCCAATCCTTACGAAACACCTACTCTCTATATGGGACTAAGCCATCTCCACCTTCCATATATCTTCCTATGTTGGCCCAGTGACCCCCTTTTTTGATAAATAGGGCTGCAACCAGCTAATCGATTAATTGATAATAATTGATAATGAGAATAGTTGTCAATAATTCCCATTATTGATCAGGTGGTTGGATTCCCTATTTCTCTCCTCAGCGCTGGAAACCAGTGTCTCATAACCTCCAGTAACTGCAATAACATATCTTCCAACTTTAGATTTTCATAAAAAGTGACTGCTGGGATAAGCAATAACGTGGTGCGCACAGGACACCATTTCGAAAATTGCATGTGACTACATACGACATGGTTTTTGCTGCCAAAGCCATTTATGCATATATATTTTTTACACGTTAAAATGTACATTTTAGGCCTGAAGATTACTTAAACCGTCAGAACTATTTATTTTCTGAAAGGAGAGACCCTTTAGAATAAAATGGTGGCAGTTATTTTATTGATATATATTTTTGTATCTTGTATCTCGTTTTGGGCTTATACTGTATTTGAACAAATATTTAAATGTATGTGTCGTTTGCAAAATGCTCTCTATTCAGCACAGACATAACACTTTACTATGTTATTACCATGTCTTTATTGATGAATACTGTCAAAGATAAAACCAGATTAAAAGTGAAAAAAATGTCTACTTCACATAGCAGCCAGGAGTCTGCTTACAGGATCCTGCTCCCACCACTGTATGGCAAACAGCGGCCACGTGAAAAGGTTAAAGGGGTATGGTTAAATAGAGTCTGAGTAGCAGTATGAGGGAAGAAACGGCTGATGTTATCAGTGGGAGTAAAATGCAGACTGCAGGTCAGTAGTATGTAACACGGAGTGCAGGGATCTGGAGTAAGAAGTACAGTATTCAGGGGTCAGTAGCATTTAGGGCAGAATACAGTGACCAATAGTATGTAGGTCAGAGTGCAGAGGTCAGTAGCATTTAGGGCAGAATACAGGGATCAATAGTACCGTATGTAGGTCAGAGTGCAGGGGTCAGTAGTTTGTAAGTCAGAATACAGGGTTTAGTAGTATGTATGGTGTAGTGCAGGGGTCAGTAGTATATAGGGTGTAGTGCAGGGGCCTGTAGTATGTAGGGCAGAGTGCAGGGGCCTGTAGTATGTAGGGCAGAGTGCAGGGGCCTGTAGTATGTAGGGCAGAGTGCGGGGGTCAGTAGGGCAGAGTACGGGGAGCCATTAGTATGTAGGGCAGAGTGCCAGGGAGCCCGGAGTTCTTCTTTAAGAATGCTGTAAGTGCATCTACTTACGGTAAAGTCACAAACATTCACTTGAGTTATGGTTCTTTTCACTGGATCAGTCACTTTAGAAATAGAAATAATGGTTGTCAGTAGATTTTAAAATGGATAAATACGTTTATTACCCATGGCAATGTGGGAAGGAGGTTGAGGAACAGATCAGGATACACAGTACACTGGTTCTCAAACATTAGACTAGGCCTCGGTCTCTTCTAGATCTCTCCCAAAGTCTCTGATGGTTAGCCTGAAGTTCGCAGACTCTGCCGGCTGGACTTCTTCAGAGCTCAGTCTTCCAGGGGACCTGAGGTTCAAGTGGTGTCTCAGGGGTCTATTCTTAAGCAGCCGAAGGATCTAGCCGTAGCTTTGGCCGATCCTTTGGCTAGCTTCGGCCCCAGGACCCCTTCGGTTCAGTAGAATTGAAGGGCTGCTGTACGGGCTATTCACAATAGCCCGTACAGCTCCCGAACTTAGCCGAGCGGCTCAGTCGAGCCGAAGGCATATGCCTCGGTTCGGCTGAGCCGCGCTGAAAGCCAATAGCCGGCCGACAGCCTGCTTCTGACAGCTGGGCGGTGATCTTACGGCTGGCTTCGGCCACTTGCATAGAGATCAGCGTCCCTGGTTACCAGCTAACCAGGGACACTGATCTCCAGACAGCAAACTCTCCCGGGCGCTCCGGGAGTCTCCTGCTCCCGGCCGCCCAGGAGAGAAACACTGCTTTTTCTTTTTTTTTTTCTTTATTCTGACACGGAGCATTGCACCCGCCCTCTGCTGATGGACCTGATGGAGAACTGCAGCAGAGGGCGGGTGCAATGCCAGTTTACTATTGGCTATTGCAAATTGAAATAGCCAATAGGAATCTAGCAATGCATTCCAATGGGCACATTTTTGTATTTATTTTTTCTATTCTGACACGGCTCCGTGTCAGAATAAAGAAAAAAAAAGAAAAAGCAGTGTTTCTATCCTGGGCGGCCGGTAGCGGGAGACTCCTGGAGCGCTGGGAGAGGGGATTTTTTTTTGTTTTTGTTTTTTGACGGCAGCAGAACCTCTGTCATTGCTAGCTACGCACAATGGTTTTCTATTTATTTATTTGGACTTTTTAGACTATTTTTCTGTTCTGCTCGGTCCCTCTGAGGGACCGAGCAGAACAGCTGAGCCGAATGCCGCTCAGCGGCATATCCCTCAGTTTTCAAGGAAAGACAGCATGGAAAGTTCCCTGTGTATAACTTCCCACTCTTCCATACCTCTCCATATGTGGGGAGCAGCTGCAGCTTGCTTCCCCTAGGCTTTAGGCTCTCTACTGCCAGAAGCCAACACCTTCAGAGGTTCCTTGCGCCTAGGCATGTGGCTGGCAGAGAAGTTCCAAAAAGAAATTGTTATTAGGGGTGAGTGATAGATTTGTAAGTCCATAGACTTAGGGACAATATTTATAGAGCAGAAATTGTGACTTTTCACCAAACCTTTACTTCAAGTGAATCGATCACTTTAATTTAGAACACATGCACTAGGAAGATATACTTACAGTGAATGTTTGGTGAAATGTCACATTGTCTACTTTATGAATGTACACCATAGTGATTATTGTTCACTTTAGCTAAGACTGGCCTGATTGGGCAATGATCATCTAATGAATGTGGGCACCTGCAAGCTCCCCTTTATTTGTATAGATTTGACTTGGTACATGCACTGTATATGGGTTAACATAAGTTTGTGTTAGTGTTAATAACATGTTCTTTCTTAAATAATGTTACATACGTTTTGTTATGATGAAGTGATTTTCTCATATCAAAATATCAGTTTTATGTTAAATAGAAAAGTATTGCCAGATTCATCAAGCAGGGGGAGCATCCTGCGTGAATTTTTAAATTGTATGCTTATTAAGCTGCCTATAGGTGTCAAAAGGATCATAAATACAAACAATACATGTTTGTATTGGTTGGGTATGCATGTTTTTGCACCCTTAGACTGGCTTTGTCTCTCAGAAATGACTGCAGTCAGCTACAAAAATCCTTATTAGACACACTTCTGATGTTTTGGATGCCAGGGGATGTCTGCAGAGTTTGTACACGTCTCACAATCTTGTTTCTTGGTTTGACTGTATTTGGCTAGGTTGGACAGATGCTTTCCTCATTTCTTAGGGCAGATTTACGTGATCTGTCTAATTCTGTCTTACTTTATAGAAGTTATCATCTTAGTGAAACAAGATAGCGCTGGTCAATATTTAAACATCAGGGAGCTAGGAGGCAAATTACATAAATTGTATTGGACAAGGATTTAGCAACTATTTAGAACTTTTGTTCTTCTGTTACAGGGACTCGGTTAACATCAAAGCTGGATTAGAACATCTGGTAAGTTCTACATTTCTCTTGAACATTTACATCATCTTTGATATCTGCATTCCAAATTAACACTTTTCAATGAGCTTTGAATACCTTGATTTGAGAAAGTCAACTATTTCCCAAAGGGTCCGCTTACCATTATTATGTGAAGGTACTTACGCTTTCATTTAGTTTATCTTCTCAAGGGAATATTATTTTTTTTTAAATTACCTTTTTTTTATTTTGATGTGAAGATGAAATGAAAAATGCCGCACAATCATTGGAGTGATGATTGTTTTAATTATCAGCAGAAAAACAATATTTGGCTGAAGATTATATTTTAGCCATTGCAGGGTTTGAGAACATTTTTTACACTAATATTTAATGCATGAATATAGTAGTTTACCAATAATTTTGTATGTCATTTTACATGTTTACATGATTTTTTCAGGTTTATTTTAATTGTGTAACTTGCATTTGGCAATATAACTTGGGTTTTCTCTGTGTTAAAAAATAATAGCTTTGGTAACATTGTGTAGATGTTACAGCTGTCTGACTAGTGTAGAAATCATTTCTTAATTGTACAGTACAGAACACAGGATCTTGTAGTCTTAACCCTGGGTTATATGCTTCAGGTGATTGGCCACTGGCAAAAAATAAATAAACTGCAGGGGCAGCTTCCATATAAACCCCTCTCCCTTTCCAAGCCTCAGTTTTTTTTTCGAGTGTCCTTTTAAGAAAAACATCTCTACTGAGAGAAGATCACATAATTTTGCTTGCAATTATTTCCTTCAAGATTATTCTACCAAGATACCTGCTACAAAGCCACAGAGGCTACTCCCTTTTTGTCTGCAGCTTTCTGGATTAATTAGCTCCTTGTCCGAGCCTTGGATGGCCATAACTGGACCCTGCCTGGATGAAAATACTTTGCTGCTAGAAGCAGCTAAAGCCTGTAGCATCTGCGCATGTGTGTGCTATTTTTTTTTCTCTCTTTCCGGACGCACTTCTCCAGCTGGATAAGACTGCTGCTCCACGCTACAAGATACACAGCACCACGATCTTGGGACACTCCCAGAGCATCAGCTACCTGCAGTGTTTGGCACTAGTGGGTAATGTTTCCCTCTCCACAGTGTGATGGTCATGAGTGCCCCTCTGGGGGACATTTGTACACCACACATGCAGATCATAGGCACAAAGGCTCTGGGTTGAGGTCTCACCAGCACACATTCTGCTACTGGCTCAGCAGGGATGGGGGGGGGGATAGTACTTTTGCTATGGGCCTTACCCCCCTAAATTCTGAGCACTACCTACAGTCAGAGTATCCTTAATCCTCTGGGGCCTCCGTAACACACCACCCATTTAGAGGCAGTAGACTAAAGGGGCCATAAGTTTTTCAACCTCTCCTCCAGAGTCAATATCAGGCTTCCCCCTTGCAGCCACTACACTGCCGAAGGGAGGAAGAGGGGGATGAGGACAAAGCATCCATTTCCCAAGAATATGACCAGGAGGATATGCTCTCTGCTGAGCTCTCACCAATAATTGAGGATACTATTGCTACCCTTATTGATGCTTTGCGCTCATGCCTGGCATTAGAGCAGCCTGAGTCATCCCACCCCAAAATTTTTAGCCTGGGCTCCATGAAAATTCCCAAACCTGCTAAAACCTTCCCAGTTCACCCGGCCTTGTAGCCTGTTTTGTACAGTGACGGGCCTCATCATAAAAAACTTTATCCCCTTCCAAAATGGTTTATTCAGTAATATTATATTGAGGAATGGGCATTCCCTGTAGTGGACCCAGCCATTTCTTGCCTTAACAGCTCCTATAGAAGATGTTCCCGGTTTTCTACGACCTTGTAGACAATTGGATAGAAACCTTCTTTAAGGCCATGTTTTTCATTTACTGGTCCTGCCATGCAAACTTAGATTGCACCCATGGCAGTGTGTCAGACACTTGCAGTCTGGACTAAACGCATGGTTCAGGATCCTGCATCCATTCTAACAGACCCTTCCATCCTTCAAATCATGAAATTCCTTCCTGTGAACTTACATTGCAGTGCTGGGCTAGCTTCTCCATATTTTCAGAATGAGCCCCCTTTTCATTCATATGCACCAAATTCTTTGGGTCGTGCTGATTACCGGAACTCCCATGCAAGAATAAGCAAACAGTGCAAACAGATAATTATAGATAATGGCAGGCTTTTTATTCTTTGCATACCTTATATTTATTCTGCTCCCCTACTCTTCATGGTGGACATTTTCACTTAGGGCAGATGAATCCATTACGCTTTACTTGGATTTTCTTCATCGTCTGGAGTATGTGGGCCTAGCCTTGGACACAGCTCTTTCCAGAGTCTTCCTCCCACAGGAGAAACTGTGGTCCCTTCAATCACAGGTTTTGGTTCAGTAGCTGTCTCTCCCTTCACTTTTGCAGGGGGGTTTTGGGCCGGATGGTCTCCTTTGAGGTGGTGGCATATGCCAAGTTTCACGCCAGACTGTTGCAACTCAGTATCCTGACTACGTAGAACAAGCAGGCTCACTCTCTGGACTGTCCCATGTATCTCACCGGCAAGGCAAGGCTCTTCCTGGTGGGTAAATATCCAGTCCAGCACTAGAGTTGGGAAAAACCTTTTTTCCAGTGACTTAGAAGATTCTCACCACAGATGTCAGCCTATCAAGCTGAGGAAGAGTCCTGGATACCTTCCCAGTATAGAGAACTTAGCTGATCTTTTTTTTGCTGCTGTTACCTCTGCGAGTGGGGGCCTCGGAATATGAGCTTTATCCTGTAAGGAACCCTCCAAGGTGTTACACAAAGATTCGGCAGTCCTGAGGATTAAGGCCCTCTTCTCTCCCCAAGGTAGAGACTCTTTTCACCTTAATAAGGTTATTGTTCTTCCCTCCCTATGTCCTACTCCAGAACATCCCAAGGAAATTTCTCTTCACATGCCTGAGTTTGGCATGCACTGTTTATGTTCAGCTCTTTTCTGGTAATTAGATTCCCTTCTTGTTCCTTCCGAGGGATTCCGTAGGGGAGTTCCCTGCTTCTTGTTCTACCATTGCTTGGTGGATTAGATAGGTCATCATTCTTGCCTATAGTTTGAAGGATAAGGTTCCCTCCTGCTTCTTCTTGGGCTTTTCACCATCAAGCATCTGTTTCCCAGATTTGTAAGGCTGCCTCCTGGTCTTATGTTTACAACAGGTTTTACCAAGTTGATTTTTACACCTTAATACTATAAGATCCAGTCAATCTTACTGTTACTTAGTAACACATATAAGCATTTTCTCAAACCTGAGAATTCTTGACATCGCCATTATAAGCCAAACTGCTTGATTAGGAAGTTGACATAGTAGCCTTAGACTACATACTGTGATTAATGTGGTCATTATATACCACTGAATCTACCATTATGGCCTTCGTTATGACCAGTCACAGCAGTAGCCTTCTTCCCATAAACTAGGAGCATTTAACTCCAGTAATTGCCCGATAAATGGATGCCTTTATTCATACTTGCATAAATAAAATAATTAACATGGTAGTTAATTACATAGTACTCTTGACTGGGAGCTCTAAAGGTTTTGGGTTCTTGGAATCTTATCAGGGACACTGCATGAAAATGTTATGCTTTCCCTATCTTTGCCTAAGTTTTCTATAGGTGCTCCAATTTCTTCCAGCAAACCTAAAATATATTGATATATATATCTATATAGATATATATCTATGTATATCTATATAGATATACATAGATATATTTCTATATAGATATATAATTTCCTGGACTACAGTCAAGTGTCCTTGTTACAAGGACACTCGACTGTAGTTACAAGGACACTCGACTGTAGTTATAAGGACACTCGACTGTAGTCTAGGAAATTCAAGTAAAACACAGTTTATTAAAGTGCAAACACAAAGTCTCTGGTCATCCACGGGGTAGCCTTCCCCTGTTCACATAAAGGTCAACATTTCATGCACTTTTCATGATAATCGGCCTTCTTTAGCAAATACGGTCCTTTTGTAGCATATACCGTCCTTAGTAGCTTTCCTCAGCTCTAAGGCTCTCAGCACACCTCTCCCCGGCTGTGGATCACGGACTCTCTCAGCGGTGTCCAACTGGTCCCTTGGGTCACCGACCTTCCTGACCTCTCCCAGCCTCCCCCGGCTATTCCTTGTGCGTCCAGCACGCACCTGAGTCTGTGTGTGTCCGTGTGCCTCCTGCACACACACAACTCCAACACAACTCTCAAAACTCTGGTCCAGACTCCTAAGAAGGCTGCTCTCAGCCACCTGATCCAGCTATGCTTGTCATTGGTAACACCTGGCCCCAGGACTGGAGATCTCATCCCACCCAGAGCTCCAAGAAATCTCCAGAGCTCCAGATCCCAGCTACATTTAGGACCTGAAAAGTCCTGGAAGGACCTGAAAAGCCAGGCTCTTCCTTATAACATTGTTTACATTCTGGACCCTCTCAGCCCCTTCGGCTCAGAGTTCTGGGTGCCAATGTTGCCATGCTACGTCGCGGCATTGCCATGCACTGCCACAATATATATATATTTCTATATGAGTATGTATATACAGAATGTGTGTGTGTATAATAATATATAGTGTGTGTGTGTATATGTGTGTGTGTGTTATATATATAAATAACATATTACTTCATGGTTTTTCATGATTTGAAGGATATTTGTATACGGCAATGGATTAAATTGGTTATATATCAATGACCTCTGAAAAGATGTTTCCTCTGTTCTCAAGGAAGTGTTTTCTTGACACAGCGCTGACAACTGACTTTCAAGAACCATTTGTTTATTTCTTCACCCCCATGATAAATATTCAGGCTAAAAGGATGGTGTTGACAAGTCAGGTACACACCCAGTGTAGAAAAGAACTCACCAAAACTTTCTAGCTACATTTGTAAGATTCTTAGTGCTGTAACTAAGGAACAAAACAGCATTATTTCATGATATTCTGCAGAAGGTATGTTTAACTGTATAAATCACCCGTTATTAGGTTTTCTGATTAAATATTCATTGTTTTTT